TATTTTGCTGTTGCCAAAAATAGTTTGCCTTAACCAAGATACAGTCTGCCAAAAAAGAAACTCTCCAAAGTTAGGGTTTGGGTAGCATTTTGCTTTTGTCTTTCCAGAAGAATAAAAACATCCAACTAAGCAATCTGGAGACCATGGGACAATTTAAACATCTGAAGAAGAATGAATGAATCATCAAGAGAAAATTTCCCAAGAAAAAAGAGTAAAATGGCCTAATGGTATAGCACACTTTGTATCCCAAATGCATGTTTTTGCCGCTTCTCTACAAACATTAAAAGATGTCTGCCTACATTTGTTTAAACTTGAGAATTCTGGCTTAGATTTTATCTATTATCTATAGTTATTCTGATTTCCACCTTACAGTTGCTTCATTCAACCAACTTTTATTGAATGCCAGATGTAAGTCACTGTTGTAGAGCTCTTTCCTCTAGGCTTAGCACAGTCATTGCCATATTGAAGCCAGAGCAATGGTTTAAGCATAAGCACAAGATTTGACCCACTAACACTCCTCATAGAGGCATGGGGGGGTGTGCTCACAAGATGCTTCAGTGGTCTTCTTTATCCAAATACAGAAAAAAAAATTTTAAGGGCTAGATAAATGACTCACCTGGGAAAGTGTTCTCCACTGAAAAATAAGGATTTGAGTTTGACAGTCAGAAGCCATTTTTAAGGACAGGGCTGATAATACAACTTTTAATCACAGTGCTGGAGAGATAGAGACTATCATATCCTGGACTTGACTGGCTATTCAACACAGCCAAGTCAGAGAGCCCCAGGTCACAATGAAGAAACTGGTTCGAAATAAGGCTAATGGTTCCTGGTAATGACTTCAGTTAAACATATGACCACTAATAATAACAACAGCTGTACACACACACACACACACACACACACACACACACACACACACACACACATACGCACCAAATCTTGATTAAGAACTATATTAAACAATTCTACAATATTCCAGTCAGAGTCACGCCATCACTCTACCGACAGCAGTGTTAATAGTGGAAACTCATGTGAAGCACATAAAATCCTCAATAACAAATGAAAATAATGTTGCCATACTAAATCTACTCAGTTACAGGAAGGAACTCTAATGCTCTACTTTTTAACCAGAAAGCAGTTTGTGAATATTTAATAAAAAATATATACACTATCAAACTCCTGATATTCCATTATAAATTCCAAAATATGTAAAATGCATTTAAATTTGCATGTTATTATTAAAGTTCATGCCATTCTCACAAGAAATGACGTACTTGTTCAGAAACACAAAACTTTCAGCAATAAAAGGGCACAATACAAAAATAATTCTAGTCAAATCACCCATTGGTGTTCCATTAAACCAAGAGCTCTCTTCTACATAATTGAGTGCTGCCAAGCTCAAACAACATTCTTTAAAGTTCAGCTGAGAATGATTTTGAATAACCTTTAAAAAGACTGGTGAAAATTGATGGGATATTCAATGAGTTGCTCAGTATCTGGACATGATCTTGAATATATTTGACATCACCTTTTCACACTGTCATAATATTTTCAAAACATCGTGTGAGATCTCAAAAGAACCATCTAATGAAAGGTGTTTCCCAAACTATGTCTTTGTGGATGCATGTACACTCATTCCAAGGCAAAGTGACACTCAGCCATGACAAAGAGACTTTTCTCTAAACAATTCCCTGTAGTAGGTTGGCACATTATTTTCAATCATCAGTTTTTCTTGAAACAATAGCACTAAACACACTGTGAGACACACCTTTTTCAATAGATTGTGTTGTAAAGATAGAGAACAAGTATTTCTTCAGGAAGAAAATGATATACAGAATTTTGTATAAATATGGCAAACTAAATGAGCAAGATTTTTTTTATGATGTTACAGCAAGCAAGCAAGGCATAATTGTTTTAAGTGAGAAATAGCCCAGTCTGATTTTTAATAGCCTACTAAAATGAATTTAAAAGCTAAAATTCACATGATATCAGGTGAAAGCATTTCAGTTAAATAACACTCATTCTACAGATGAAAAAATGGCAAATTTCATTTTCTCACAACCAAAAACAAAATATCATTTGTTTCAAAGATACGACAGGTATCTACCTATTCAGGTACTGAGTTCTCAAAAATGTTCATCATGTTCTTTTTTAAACATAATAAATTTGGTGTGTTCTACCATGCACACTGGGATTATGAAGAATATTATATCTTCAGAGAGAATTACTTGAGCAGTTGACATCAAAAGTTTGACTAAACTTTACATGGCAGCTCAGAAAACCTCACAAACACAGGAGATGTGTTCTTAGGAAGACATGCTGATTAACTGTTTGATTGATATCTCTCAAAAGACTTTGTAATCACCTTGTCAAAAAAATTTGAGACTGCAAGTTGTTCTTAAGGAAAGTTCATGTCTACCCTATGTTCTGATCACTCTTAATGATTTCTATCATAAAGTTTTATTTTCATAGGATATGCCTAAGTGTCTTAGAGTAGCATAAGATAGGACAATATGAAAATAAGTAATATGTTGACCTTCATCTATGCTATGGTCAACATGACTTTAAATAGATGATGTGAAATCACATGACAAACTGAGGACCCATGGAACAAAGTAGTGCACCATGTATCTAGAAAAAAATCTTTCTTTCTTACTTCAAAACTTTGGTTTCCTTTTTGCAAACATGATTTTCCATTATTTACTACTGCAGCTGGACAATGGAAAACAAAGCAGATTTCAAGCATCTCCTATCTTCCGTAAAATTTGTTGTCTATTTTAGGGAAAAACTCTTCCAGGAAGCACAAAAGTACAATCAATTCAGTCAGAGAGTCGTAATAGATGTAGCCAATATTTATGAGGAAATCCTGTGCTATACTAACTTGAATAAATGTGTAATTAGCTCCTAAGGCATTTTACTTTAGGTCTTGGGCAATAGAATATTCATGTGGTTAGCTTGAGTAGTAAGGCTTACATTACATGACTGAAGGAATGCATTCACACAGCAAATATTTGGGAGAGAACATCACTGCCTTGGAAACAGAATGTCTCTACTTCTTTTGCATCCTTTGGAGTCAGGAACCTAGATGTCCAGGTGCGGAAAAATTGATTGAAAAGGGTCCTGATGGTTTTTGAAAGCCGTGTGCAGATGGTAACAGTGAAGAAAGAAGAAAGCGACTAGAGGAACCCATTTCAGACAAGGCTAAGAGCACTTACTGCTCCTGGAGTGGCTTCCAGTTTCCTTCCCAGCACCCACATCAGGCAGCTCACAACTTCCTGTAACTCTAGTACCAAGGTACCTGACACCTTCTTATGATCTGTGTGGGCACTGCATGCATGTAATGCACAGAGAAACACACACACACACACACACACACACACACACACACACACACACACACATTTAATTTATTTTAATTTTAAAAGTAAAAATTTTCATGCTTATATTTTTATTTCTTGCATTGTTTCTCAAGACTCTCCAAATTAATAGTACCAATTCAACAAAGACAGATATGTGATGGGAATGAACTGTAGGAAGTGTTTCATACTGTTATGAGTGCTAAGAAGCCCCCATCATAGACTGCCTATAAGCAAGAGAACCAGGAATCCTGGTGTTGTCTTGCAAGATATTTTAGCTGGACCAACAGTGTTTAAAAACCTGTGAACCAGGAACTCCAATAGCCCAGGGCTAAAAAAGACTAGAATCCCAAGCAAAGAGGAGAGGAGAGAGTTTGCCTCCTTATACTGGTGGTGGCAGAGCTTTATTCTGTCTACTGATCCAAATGAGATGCCAATCTCTTCCAGAAAACTGTCAGAGATGCACCCACTGCTTTCCTTAATCTAGCCAATCTAACACATAAAACTCACCATTGCACGTTGCAATTCCATTCCACCTCCTGGCTCACTTTTTCAATGCTATATGGCAAAAGTGTTTCTTTAGCCCTTTTCTCTGGAAAACAGTGGATGTCACTGTTTATATCACCAAGGACATGAGGTGGGTGGTAAACTGGCTGGAATGTAACAGTGGATGCAGATACACCACCTAGAGAGGTGAAGAGAGAAGAAAGGTAGTCAGCAAGCAGACCACTCAAATCAGAGATCTCACACAATAGGAGAGGAAGACAGGCACTGGGGAGATTGGTCCTGTTTATGATCCTTAACTTCTGCAAATCTTCGAAGGACAGGACTCCATAAACAGCCAGGATTTTACTCCACCAGCAGGAAGAATGGCCCCGGCTCTGTGACGTATTAGCTGCGTTAAAATGGGAGGGGAAATCCCCGAACCTTTAAGAATTTAGGGGCCTTCAGGTTTCGTTGTGGAAAAATATTATGATTTGACGGAAAGAGTGAAGACCAGGCAGCCATTTGCCCCCAGCACCATCTTACCAGTTGGACTCTTTCCTCAAACTACAAGTCCCACAAAACCCCTCGTTGTCCTTGGCACTACTCTACTGAAGCAATATGGAAATCATTCACCGAACACCGTGTTTCTTGACATGCTGATCTGAGATAACACATTTCACTTTTATTTAAAACATTATATGAAGAGGAAAACTCTTAAAGCTGTCCTTGATTTTGAGTTTTCACAGAGACTTGTTTTTGTTTTGTTTTTTCAGACAGGGTTTCTCTGTGTAGCTTTGTACCTTTCCTGGAACTCACTCTGTAGCCCAGGCTGGCCTCGAACTCACAGAGATCCGCCTGGCTCTGCCCCCCAAGTGCTGGGATTAAAGGCGTGCGCCACCACCGCCCAGCCAAAACTTGTCTTTTTCACCTTTCTTTCCTCCCTTCTTTCTTCTCTTTGCTGCGAGAAACCATTGAAATCAAATGATAACTTGATTTGAAGACCACTGGCATTGGCTGGGTTCAGAAAATGCCATTAGCAAGATGAAAGAAATGTCTTTGCTTCATTTTAGAAAGCTTAACGTGTTATAGTCTGTAGGTTTGAGGTTTGTTTTGGTCACTGTTTTATTATATGATCCTGTCTAATACTTTAGGGTTTGTTTCCAATGCCTTTTGCTTGATGGTTTTAGTGGCTCCTTCTCCATCACTAGCAAAGAACATGATTAAAACAAGGGAGTGGGAACAATAGAAACCTGGGAATAGCTGTTGAAACCAAATCATGGTCTTATCAAAGCAGCAACAAAGAAATCTATTTCCAGGAAGGCAAGCTGCTTCTTATATTCAGTTTCCAAAATGTTACTTTCCTAAAAAAAATGTTTTTAAAGTTATATTTTTTTATTATGTATACAGTGTTCTGTCTGCATGTATGCTAGTAAACCAGAAAGGAACACCAGATCTCACTATGGATGGTTGTGAGACACCATGTGGTTTCTGGGAATTGAACCCAGGACTTCTGGAAGAGCAACCAGTGCTCTTAATTGCTGAGCCATTTCTTCAGCCCCAGGATTATTTTCATGAAATGGAAAATATGACAAGGTACAATGAATGTAAGATTGCTTTTACTTTATAATATTTTTTTTGAGAAAAGGCTCAGTTTAGTTGGACAGATATGCACTGTTTTCTTTTAGTTTACATTATTTCCCCTAATGTTTCATCTAGTAAATCATTGAATCTATATCAAGCTTTAATATCTTCAATATGACTTGTTAATCATATCGCTATCACTGTTTACAACCTCTTTCTCCTTTTAACACAGCAAGAAAACAATACTTTCCTTTCACTGTGAGACAATACCAAAAACATCTGGAGTCTGCGCTGCTTTCATTCCATTAGAAATGCTTGCGTTTTCTCTCTTTCAGGAAAGAGATAAGAAATAACCAGTTTTAAATCAATAGACTCTATGCCTTCCTTCCTTACAGTTAATTAAAAGGACTTGAGGCAATTATAAAAGAAGCTAAGAAATATTAACACGTATGGGTGACAGAAAGTTAGTTTTGTAGAAAACATGACTTGCAGTCTGTATTAAAGACCTTCACTGTCCTGACTCCCTGGCTGGGAGGGATGCAGATCAGGTGATTCCTCTCATCATTGTCTTAAACTCTGCCAAGGGAAATGGCCTTGCACTCAGATCTGAGAAAGCCAGTCTTGACAATTCTCATTGCCATTAAGAATTACTTATCTACCTACTCTGGTGATGGGACGGCCAAACACCCTAATAGTTGTGCCAGAAACCCCATCCAAGGACTGAGGAATCTGGATGCAGACATCCACAGCTAGGCCCCGGGTGGAGTGCTGGGAGTCTAATTAGTGAGAAAGAGGAGGGTTTATATGAGCGAGAATTGTTGAAACCAAGGTTGGATAAAGCACAGGAACAAATAGCCAAAAGAATGGAAACACATGAACTATGAACCAAAGACTAAGGGGCCCCCAACTGGATCAGGCCCTCTGAATAGGTGAGACAGTCGATTGGCTTCATCTGTTTGGGAGGCATCTAGGCAGTGGTACCAGGTCCTGGGCTCCTTGCATGAGTTAGCTGTTTGAAACCTGGGACTTATGCAGGGACACTTGGCTCAATCTGGGAGGAGGGGACTGCACCTGCCTGGACTGAGTCTATCAGGTCGATCTCAGTCCTCGGGGGAGACCTTGATCTGGAGGAGGTGGGAATGGGGAGTGGGCTGGGGGGAAGTGGAGGGGGGCAGGAAGGGAGAGAACAAGGGAACCTGTGGCTGTTATGTAGAACTGAATAGTATTGTAAAATAAAATAAAATTAAAAATAAAATAATAAAAAAAGAACTACTTATCTAAAAGTAGATGTATGATTTTGTTTACTTCCGAGTCATACCAAGGAATTCTGAGTTACATAAGGTTGACGTTGCTGGAATATGGTAACAACAGTGCAAGCATGAAAGAAAAGTTTGGCCATTAAGCTCTTGATTTTATGACTTATTACTTATGTACATAGATACCCCTTAGCATTGTTAATTATTTACATATATATCCATTAGTGTTTGAGTTCTATACATAGATTTCCCTGAGTATTATTTTTTATGTACATAAGTACCCCTAGGTAAAATTATGTATTCATATAGGTGTATCTCAGTACTGTTTCATATATACATAGCTACATACACATACACAATTTATATGAATACTTAAGTACAAATAAATATAAAATATAACATTTATGCATATAAATATGTCATGCTTTCAATGAAACAATATCCAGTTGTAAATTGTATTGTTCCCTCAAACTCTTATTTGGACAATTTACCAAAGTTAGAATAAAGATAACAGTCATATTGCCAAATAAACTTACTGTCCACATAAAGTTGGTTCAGAAATCTCTATTTTTAACTGAGTGGTGGTGGTGCACACATTTAATCCCAGTACAGGAGACAGAAACATCTCTCTGAGTTCAAGGCTAGTCTGGTCTAAAGAGCAGATTCTAGGACAGCCAGGGCTATGCAGAGAAACCTTGTCTCAAAAACATAAGTAAATAAATAAATGATAAATCTGTAATTTTTTTAAAATCTCTTTAATTGAATTATTATGTGCACAAGATTGAACTTTCAGTAATACGTGTCCAAACATAGCCTTATTGCCCACCTTTCTATTTAATTTGAAATGGCTTTTAATTCTTCTATGATTAGAGTGTTTCTTTTAAGTATAATACATTTTGTAATTGTCCCCTACTTGCTTGACTTTTTAATACAGTTCTGTATGTCCACAAAAAATAGCCATAGACAACAGATATCTACTTCAGAAGCTTACTAAATATAATTATATTGAGTAATTCACTTAAAATTTTGTTTACTGGACAAAAATGTATGTCTTGACAAATTAGCATTGCATTTTAAGTTTTTCTTGGCAAAAATTATACACAGTAAAGAAAGCACTAGTTTCAGACTTGTCTTTTCATGTAGCACCACAGTACCATGGATGGTGAATTTGACAATCAAGAACAAATTAAAAGTAATCTAGGAAAATAAAAGCTGCTATAAGCCTGGTAAAGGTCAGCACTTCCAAAGACAACTCTAAGCATAATGACCTTAAACTGCAACTCCAATAGCTTTTATACTTGCAGATATGTCCTAGCCCAAATGAGCTACATTTAGAGATTAGTTCACAGACAGCAATCTCATCAAGCTTTCCTTTTGATGAAAAAATATCTATAGTCTCTTCACAGACTAAGCCTAAGCCTCTCATAAACAGCCATGAAGTTCACATATCTCTACTATGCCAAGCTATCTCTTTTATATGTTAATATATAAATCCTACTAATCTAATTTCCCATAGGATCAAAAGGTTTTTTTTCCCTAAGATGTATGTTTTAAAATCTGCCTCATGAATAGCTGAATTCTCTAATGTTCAGGTTTCACAAAGTCTTCAGAAACAGTATTTGACCAGCTAGAATCCAGGATTTAGACCACAGTACTATAAAGCCAAATCCGATGATGATCTGAGCAAATGCAGCTTAATTGGTTTGATCACTAAATTACCATTCTGTATTGACTTTCTCATGTGTTGGGACCAGGATTATAGGTGAGAAAGATATGTTCTCTTTCATTCACAGATACTAGTAAGATAACAAGAAACTACATTTACATGAAGTCTATTATTGGCTTATAGCATTTAAAGATCTAAGATCCTGCTTTATTCATTCAAACAAACTATATTATTATCAAACATAAATGAAAATGCTGATGTTTGTAAAGCTTAGGAAAACTTGAATGTGTTAATGTATCATCAAAAAAAATCTTTGAATTAGATCCTGACCACTTGTCTGTTGTACCTTAAATCCCATGGTTTTGTGCAAATGAAATGATTTAGTAGGTCATCATCCTGCCAACAAATATTAAGTACTAACTACCAAGTACTATAATGGTAGAAGAAGAAAAAATAAGAGGAAGGAAGGTCCCTGACTATTTAGAGCCACCATTCTCATAGAAAATGCAAGTATTACACACCCCCAAAAAAAACTAGAACTAAGTAATTTAAAACAAAACAAATGATTTCTGTAAAATGCTTGAAGAAGAAGTGCATAGAAAGAGAACGGATTGGTTTTCAGAAAAATTCTCTCTCAAAAGCAATCTAGTCCCAGAGACAGATGATTTCCGGGAGATGTTTGTACAGTGGTGTTGGAGAGGAACCATAGAAAATGTGTATCATCTAAGGACCATCAATAAAAGAGTTTGACCAATTTGGGGGATCTGATGACCTCCTCTGGCCTCTACGAGTACGAGGCATGCAAGTGGTGCACAGAAATATAT